GGTCCCTTCTCTGGTCCCCAAGCCCTCAGACCCCCACGACACCCTGATGGGCATCACACAGCAGGGCCAGCAGGCCTCAGCCAGCTCCAGGCAAATCCCTCGGCCCTACTGCTCCTGCTCCAGGTCCTTTGCACACACTGTTTCCTCAGCCCTCTTTGTCTGCTGGACTTGGCCGGCTTGCCCTGCGTGTCACCTCCTCTGGGAAGCCTCCTGGGCCCTGTCAGGCTGGGAAGGGCAACCCCCTCTGCCCCCATGGGGCCCAGCGAGGGCCGACAGAAGGAAGGACAGGGGCTGGCATCTTGTGCAGCGCAGCCACCCCCACCCCTGCACTCACCACCCCCTCCAGGAGCCTGCCGTCGGCTGCCTCACCTGCCCGGCAGTCCACGCTCTGCTCCTTCAGCTCTGGGAAGAAGCTGAGGAAGGAGTCCAGCAGGTCCTGGGCCACCACGCTGGTGAACTTGTACTTCTCCACATAGGCCTGCGAGGGAGGGGCGGGGCCTCAGCGGGCCTGGAGAGGCTGGGTGCCCCCACCTGAGCTGGGAATCAGGGAGGGCCTTGGGGCAGGAGGCAGCAGGGGCCATGGCGAGGAGGGGGCTGCTCACGCGGAGAAAGTCGTCAAAGCGCTGGGGGTCTCCGCAGAGCTGGGACAGGTAGTACACGAAGCAGTAACCCTTCTCATAGGTGAACAGGTTCATCAGGTGGCTGGGGTTCACTCCTGCAAGACGAGGGAGAGAGCTGGCTCTGGGCCATGCCTGGGACCCTGCTGTGTCCTCGGGACGGGGAAGGGCCGGGGGCCACCACTGTTCTCACACGGCTGAATACCCACCAGCAGCCTGGTGCTCTGCACCCACGAGGGGCAGCTGTGGGCCTGGGGATCCGGGAGGGCCCTCCTGGGGCAGGGTGGGTGGGCGGCCGGACGGCCTTTTCAGGGCCCCGACCAGGTGGGTGTTGTCCGGTCGGCGGGTACCTGGCTCCAGCTTGGCCTGCAGCTTGCTGACTGGGCTGTCCTCTCCCAGCAGCTTCATCTGCCGGTGCAGGGCATCCAGGCGGAAGGCCGTCTCCAGGCAGGTGAAGGCTGCACCTGGCAGGTGTGGGGAGGCAGGCAGGGCTGAGCACCCTCCGCAGGGCTTGGGGTATCACCCGGGTGGCCGCCTGCCCCGAGCCAGGCAAGCTAACCAGGCGGTGGCCGGGACCGCGGGGCACGGGTCGGCACCTGAGGTGGCTGGGCTCTCGGCCCCCAACTCGGGGTCCCGCCCCGGCCCCGGGGACAGTACCGTAGGTCTCAGTGGTGATACGCCGCTGTGCGTAGGTGGCCAGGCCTTCACTCAGCCACATCTCCTCCCAGGTGGCGTTGGTGACGGCGTTGCCGAACCAGCTATGGGCCACCTCGTGGATAACGTCGATGACCAAGAACTCGTCACTCTCCAGGATGGAGGAGATGATGAAGGTGAGGCAGGGGTTCTCCATGGCCACGATGGGGAAGGAGGGCGGGAGGAAGACAATGTCGTACCTGCCGGGTGGGGAGCACTGAGGGACCCGGCCCGGGGCACCCAGGCCACCCTGCGCCCCGACAAGGTAGGCTGGGCATGGGTAACTCAGGGGGTCCCACAGGAGCACCCTTTTCCAGGCAACCAGAGCTCTGGGCCCACCCAGGACATACCTGCCCACATGTACGGACCCCCCACTCCAGGAC